AGGCAGTAATTTTCGATAACACATCAACTCAACCGTCTACGCATCAAAACTATTTATTCAACCAAATTTTTTCTCTTTTTTCTCTATCTCCTAAACAACAATCCACCAATTCAAATTCAACCATGACCCTCCATCAGCCCGCGGTGAGAAGAAGAAGGACAAATTGCTCCTGCCTCTGTTATTGCTCATGAAATTGAAACTGAAGGTCGTCCTGCCAATCCTTCTCGGTCTGATTGGACTCAAAGCATTCAAGGCTTTGATATTGTCGAAAATCGCCATCAAACTGGTACTTGGCTTCCTCATCTACAACTTGATCACCAAATTGTCGGGCGCCAAAATGATGATGATGCCCGCGCCTGCGCCATCAGCTGAATACGGTCCACCCAGCACCACTGCCTCCTCATACGATCCCAGCAGTTGGGAACCAGCCAGCGGTGGCCCATATGCCCGTTGGGACACGCAAAGCCTCGCCTACAGCGCATACCATCCCAGCTCTAGCTCATACAACTCCGGATCCAGCTCGCCTGGTTCATCGTCCAGCTACAGCTCATCATCGTAGATAGTTGAATGCTACCGCTGAATGCTTGAGGACATTCATAATCCAAAGAACTTTGGCTCTGTTGTGAGAGAGAAATATGTAAATACACAATAGAGCTGTTGTAAAAAGCAAAGAGAGCACAATAACCTGTACATATGTATGTATGTATACATACATAGAAAAAAAATGCAAAATCAAAAGAAAATGGAAAAATATCTCGAACATACGGAAACTAGGAAAAGGAAAGGACTAAAGCAAACGCTGAGCTACCATTTTATCCGTGTAGGATATTTATTAATTGTAATTTATTTTTATTAATTTAAGGATTTAGTCATTCTACAATTTCAAGACTTGAAACTTGCTGACCTTGTGACTAGCTTTCACTTTCACTGCACTTTCACTTTCCAACCTTCTCTTTTCACACTTTCACTTTTACCACTTTCACTCTTCTATTGCACTGTTACTTTAAATTCTTTTACTCAACGCCTTTCCTTTAATTTACTTTAGCTTTATATTTATTCGCACCACTATCCTATTTTCCCTTTATTCCTTACTATTTGCTTTATTTTCCACATTTCTTAATTCTAGTCTAATCTTTCTGCATTTACCTGACTCTTTTGTTATATATTTTCTTTATTACTACTCCGCGAACTCCGAACAAACACAAACAAATCCAAAAAAGCTAAGTTAATATTTATTTTAATTTATTGAGATGCAAACACAAAGTAAAATAATAAAAAAAAAGAATTCAAATTTTTATAAATCTTTGAAGTTTTTCTACGGAATATTAGTACAGTCAAATCGCCGCCGATGAAAAGATACACATTGCATAGATATCGAAAAAATACAAACTCTATGCATAGCATATATAAAAATATTAAATTCGTTTGTGCTGCAGGCAAAACCTCGAAAATGGCTAGGGTGATTTAAATAATTCCTTGTCTAGATGTTTACGCTAAAGACTCCAAATTGCTTAAAACATAAAAAATAGAGAGTTGCCACCTCTTCGAAAAAAATCTTTTAATAAAATAAATGATATATTACAATTTGGGAATCGAACTAATGTGGTATAAGTAAGCTTAGTTTGAAAATTATTTTTGAAGAGGGTTGCCACTTGTTTCAAACATTTTGTTCAATTAAATTAATTAATAAAATGGCTTAAATACATATAAAGCTATTACCACTTTTATATCAACTTACTTTAGGTCTAGGGAATGGGTTGCATTGCATTCAATTTCTTTACTAATGATTTCGGCAGTCGGCGTTTGCTTGTAGATACAAAAAAAAAAAGTTAAAAATGTTAAGCTCTCAACCCGTAGTATTCTTCTAAATCGAAAAAAGAATACCATTATCTTCTCGTTTACAAGAAAAAACAATTTATATTTAGAATCCTCTCTAAGCCCATAAGTTGTCCATGTATTTTGTATGTGAAAAAAACACTTCTTCGTAGAAATGGTACATAATTCTGGAAATTCAATCGGAAAACGCTTTTTCTGTTCAGGAGGCTTCCAAAAATAATATAGTTTATTTTATCTTTTTTAAGACTAGCAATGTTTTATGGGTCCTAAAATTTAATTTTATTTGCTTTTGGGTTTTTGGTCCCCTATCAAAATTAGTTAATATTAAAAAATAGCCAAATAAACAAATGGGTATTATTATTGGAAGTCTCCTAAAGAGAAACCGAGTTTTGTAATCGAAAAGTATTGAATTACCAGAATTTCATTTTATATATTTATACGAAAACGTGGAAAACTTAATGAGCTTTGAGGCAGTTCTAAATATAAAACCAAAAAAACCGGTAATCTTTTTTATAATTTAGAAAAATACATAAACTTTTTTCTCCGCATGTATTTTTGTGCCACCCTAATATACAAGCTGTAGATGACGCTATGTTCAATATACGCCTTTCTGTTACACATGCGGCAATGCATTGTTAAGAGCCTGAATGTATATTATAGCTTTTAACAGCATTTAGTGAAATGATTTAGTGAAATGAACAAAAGCATAGATGTTGTAAATACTGCAAAATTTTATAGAGACAAGACTAAAAAGAAGAAAATGAATCAAATCAAATCAGGTGACAACAAAAAAGTCAAAATTTGTCAAACTGTTATTATTATTCTTACATTAGAAATTAATCTATAATAACCGGATTTTTTTTCTCTGAAGTATCAGATTTTTGGGTAACAGCGAAAAAATATATCGCCTAAAAATTAAACACCCTAATAGATATGTTTGTACATTAAAGTGGTGGAATTTTTGTACGGAGGAAAACAATTCCGTCCTATAAACTTTCAGTTTTCTACTGCAAGCAATACAGGGTGCTCAATGATCTGGAAATGTGCTACTGGATCGCTGTGAAACTGGTAAAATATAGGCAATTTTTATAAAAAGGTACTGTTTTCCTGACAACTGAAGCATGTGATATTTTTTTAGATAATTTAAATTTGAAATGTTCTTTTGTTACATAACCAATTGCTGTATTAATATATGTACGCACTACTTCTAGAGTAAAATATGAGCATCATGAGCATCCTGTAAATTTATACTTAGAAACGTAAGGCTCGGTAACAGCACATCTTTCGGCAAGAGGAAAAAATTCAGAAGCTACACCAAACCCTATCTTGGAAACATTTTTTTTGTTGGGCCACTCTAATGTACATACGTGGGTATATAATCCAATCCAAATTTTTTAAAAATTTCTTAAATCGAACATAGCTCACACGTTCTTCAAAGGTGGCACAACTTTCCAGTGGGAAAATATAATGTATAGTAATCGAAAAAATAATAAGTAAAACAATCCTTTTCACATTCGAAAATGCATTTTTTTCCCCAGGGCGATGTCCTAAGAAAAGTGGGGCATTCAATTTTGCATTACCTAGTATCGAGAAACAAATGTATTTTAACATGAAAATTTTGGAACTTTTTGAATACATTAGAGGGCGGGTGAAATAATGCAAACGGCAATAAAGCAAAATTTACATTATTTTGCTTTTAAATGGTAAGTAATACCAAAATCTGAGTTTTGCTTTATTTCCTTTGCTTATTCTTTTTCAGTTTATCCACCATATTGGATCCGCCATCTTGAATTACAAAAAAGGCTACTCCGTTTTTAAAAATAGATAAAATTGCCTAAATTTTAAGCCACGTTAGAACTTTCTCGTTGAGAAAGAAATCCTGGTATAGGAGTTTCCCATTTTTACCTCAAATAAATTGATCAAGAAGACAGAGTATGAGTTTGAGGAAAAATTGGATGAGCAAAGACTTGTGGGTTAAACCTTATACAAACGCACAGCATAAACAAGGATAATTTGTTTAAACTATTGTTAATGTTACTCGTATGTTTCTAATAAGTTTTCTTTTGTAATCATACACAAACAAAAACTTTAAATATTTAGCTCCTTTATATAATAAACATAAACAAGAATTACTTTTTTAAATAATTAATGTTATTAGTGTTATTAACAATATTACAAATATGTGTCGTGATTTTTTACTTTAACTACATATCGCACCCATTTCTAGTTCTTAGATAAGTGCCAACTCTATCCAGAAATTTGTATGGGTTGAAGCTTTATTTTAACACATTTTGTTTGAAACTAATATTTTACATGACCGCAAGTATCATGATTAGAAAAAATTTTATTATAGATAAGTGGCAACCCCATCCAAAAATATATGTGGATTAAAACATGTATTTTCAATACCCTTTGCTGGGAGTGCATAAACTTTCCGTTTCATACACATATTTTGGCATTAAATAAGCTTAAATTCTAATACCCGTTTTTGTTTTTATTAAAAAGGTGGCAACCCCATTAAAAAAATTTTTTCTTTCAAAGACTTTAGTTTTTATGAAAGAACTTAAATCTTTTATTGAGCCTTTAAATAATTTGTAATTTTGATATATCTGGCAACCCTATTTCCCCTGTTCGTACGTGATATGGTTATGAAAGCATAAAATAACTAACTTTTGTATGCATCGGTTATTAAAACACACTTTGCAAAATTTTTAAGTGAAAAAAGCATCATAGTTTTATTTTTTGAAGACTACTGAAGGGAAATGGTCTCATTCAATCAAAAACTATTTAATTTTGATGATTTTATACCAATTCGACAAAAAAAAGGATCAGTCCAGCGCCTTCGTCTTGACCTGGAGGCTGTGGTGCAGCCACACCCGCTAAACTTAAACGTAGAATACGTGATATAATTAAGATCACATTCAAGTTAAAAATGGTACATGAAATATTCGTTTTGATTGTAATGAATTGAATTTAATAAATCAATATGAATTGCAATTGAATTTAATTATAAAATCAGATGGCAACCCTCCTACATGCAGTTTAGAAATAAAGTTTCTTCAAAACAATTTTGATTTATATTCATATTGAAGTAATTTATTTAAACTACTGCTTATATTGAATCTAGCTTTGTAACAAGGCGGCAACCCTCTGCAAAATGTTTTCAAACCACAATTCAATTTACTGCCTTTAACGTTTAACGTTCTTACAGATTTGTGCCTTGCTGATTAATAGTTATATGATTATAGTCTGAATTTCATCAAAGTCGGATGACATTTAACATCTCTGCCCACATTAGTTGTGGGCGTGGCCGTGTGTCAACTTTTACTATTTTCCACATTTCTTCATAGCTAAGTGCATTTGTGTTTGTAGTGCAATCAAATTTCAAATTAACAAATATGTAGCAAATATGATTACCCGAATTCTTTCTATAATTATACAGTTATTTTTTATGAAAGGTAACTCAACCAAAAGAAACAATTTGTGTACATATTTTCTTTCTAAATCTGATTCAGTTGTTTGATGTTTTCGGTTGAATGAATCCGGGATCACACACTGTATTTAATGCATTTATAATTTATGTAGTTGACAATTAACTGGGCTCAAGCTCAAAATAGCTAAGCTATAGTTAGCGTAATGCAAATTATTAACTTAACAACAACCTAAAAAGCAAGTCATTTCCCGCACAATACGCGTTAAAAAAATTGTTGTTTGAAATTTTTT